AAAATATTTTGTGATAAGAGTTTGGCTAGACTCTGGAGTAAATAATTCTTTTTCCACTATATTCTCTAGCTTTCTTAGTGAATCTTGATCCCTTAGATGTTTATGAGCATATTCAAGAAAAGTATAATAACCATTAAGAGCCTGATTTTTTGTAATTAAATGATCAGATATCTCTAGGTTCCCTCCTTCGTCATTCTCGGAGCTTTCATAACCTTCTATAAAAAATAATATTAATTAAAATTTTAAGTAATTAAACCTTCCAACTCTAATCTTATCTGATTACAAATATCCTGATCATCTAAAATTCCATGGCAGCTAGCATCATCATCGTGTAACCCATATTCTTCAAATATGGGATCAAATTCATCTTCTTCGTTGTCAGTTAATGCTATATCATCCTCCGATTCCCAATCAAATGCCATAGACTTATCAAAAAATTTAGCTTCAATAAAACACTTTATGATTGTGGTACTTGTCACCCCACCCCATGCAAATTTTATAAGATAGAGGCTATCATAAAGTGTAAATCTTTTATAAAAAAGAGGTGGTGTCATTTCCTTCCATCAATGTTATCATTTTTCTTATGATACCCTTTCTATAATGACATTTAAAGGATCTAATTGCACCCATGTCCAAAGGTTGAATTAATGATGTTGTATTTGCTGGTAAAAAAATTAATTTTATATTGTTAAATGTTAATTTTGTTTTGTGACAAGATGCATTGTCACAAAACAATAAAATTTTCTTCTTTAATGAGGAATTCTCCATTCTTTAAGAATATCTTCAAAAGTTGAGGTTGTCATCCAGCTGCTTTTATTGGAGTTTTTTTATTTTTAAAGCACCTAGGGTTTTTAAATTTCCCTACAACATATAACTTTTTATCAGATCCATCCCCATTTATGATAAATAGAACTGTGACCTTTTCCTTGTCTGGTTTGAAGCCCAGTGGTTGAGTTCCACTAAATTCCATTGTGCCCTTTTGTAATGCTCGGTAGTATAGTCCTGTCTCATCACAATTGTAAATATTACTCCTTTGATAATTTTTAATCAGAGATGGGAGTGTATTTCTGCTCCATTTTGCATTAATAATATCGGCACTCCCCTTTCATTGCAAACATTATGAAAATTTATATTCTGTCTTTTCCTAAATCTCTGCAACAAGCTGCTAGTAGGAATGCCTATAATTTATATATATATATTATAAAAACTTATAATTACCTTCATTGAATGTTTGGCTAAAAAACATAGCCTTTTCTAACATCACTGGCCCATTTAGACTGCAATTTTTACTTCGCATTTGGGTAAACCAAACCAATAAAGCTGCTTCTGTCTTTGGGTATAACAACTCATTCTAACTCTTTTAGTTGTAGGAGGTTTATTCCTTAGAAATTGTGAGCATAGATTTTATTTATTCGCTATTAAACGGTAGATTGTCGAGACGTGGCAATTGTAATTTGATGCTAATTGTGTTTTTGATGTAGTGTTTAATTTATCAATTATTTCTTTTTTATGCTTCAGGGTTAATGTTTGGAATGATTTTTTTACCATTTTTATATTAATTTCTGGCGTGGAAATGAATGAATGAATGAATGAATGGAAAAAGGTCAAATATAAAAATGATGAATAATTTTTTTCGATAAATTTTTTTTATTTTTTCACTTATCCGATTAAATTAACGTTATTGTTATATAAATGGGACCTGAAAAATTTTGCAATTATCCGATATTTCGCAATTAACCGATTCGCAATTATAAATGTAATTTAACATTATACCATATAAATTATTATCAAAATCGCGGGGTTTTTTCGCATTTAAAAGATTTTGCACTTAAGCGATATGCAATTAAACGGTTTTGACTGTATATATTTAATTAGGGTTAAATAATAATTTAAATAATAAAAGTCAATTACAACTGTTAAAACGAAATTAATATTTAGTGAGTTATTGATATTATATTTTTAATACAGAATTTGATTGCAAGCTGTCATAGTGAAAATATAATTTATATGTATTAATCTAATCTAATAATTAAAATAATATTCATTTAATAAAAATTTAAATAGTCTTATTTTCTAAATAATAAAATTATATCTATATATTACTTAATGGAATTATAAAAGAAATCATTCAGTGGGCATTCAAAAAAATTTATTTTTAGTTCAAGGGGATATTAAGGAGCCATTAAAAAATTTTTTTTGCTTCAGGGTGCTATTCAATTTTCAGAGAGCTCGAGCCCCTGCGCGCTCCTCCCCCCTAGCGACGCCACTGTTTATTCCTGTTCCCTGTCTAATAGTGTTAAAAAAATTCGATAGCCGATTTTTATAAAATTGCTAAATCAAAATTTTTGGCAATAATCATATAAGCCTTGAGATTTTGCCAAATGTTTGCCATTATTTGACCAAATATTGAAACTTAGTAATAATTTTTTGATAAAATCTAAATTTAACAGTTATTTAAAGGTTTTAAAAACATTAGGTCTATCTACAATATCAATATTACTATTAAATTTTTTATTGTTAAATTTAATAGTTGTCATTAAATTAAAGATACTACAGTGATGTCGTGATCACGATTCAAACCTAGGTTAAAGCTACAATAATTTATACTAATGTTGTCAAACGGCCTAATTTAAATCGATTTTTAAAAACGCCCCGATATTTTAACCAAAAAAATGTCATGTAATTTAAGATTTAAAAATAGAGGTCTAAACCTTTCTGTCAACTAAAAAAAATTTAAAGGTTATATAATATAATTTTAACTTAAAATTTTTATCGAGCTGTTTTAAAAAATCAACCCTAATCTGCCCATATATTCAACATCTCTCCTCTTTTTCACACATCTCTTTCTATTAGTATTCTTTCCATCACCTCCGCCTAAGGTCTCTCGAACTATTAAATCCTTGCCTCTACTCTCTTTATTAATATTAATATTTACTCTACAAAAATAACTTGTTACATTAATAAATAACTGTCTAAAATGCAAAAAGTTATTTATCATATAACAAGAGACAAAATGTAACAATTATAGATACTCAAATGTAATCGATATGTGATAGTTACCGATCTTTACAAAGGAAAATGTGTAATATAAACCTAAGGACATCATTAATTCAATGACATATGTCATTGCATTTTTAAATTCAGAAACATATATATTAACAAATGATTGAAGCAACCCAGTTAAAATCTTGGCCTCCATTTTCAGCTTAACAATGGACAGTATTTATCACGTATTGCACTCAGGTCCGAGATATGGTCCATCCTATTCACTGCAAATCTTTAAAATTTCACGACTCTAGACACTGCCAACATCAAAATATCCAAAAACTTAAAAAGAATACAAGCCTTAAAAAGACAACATTCGATGCTATCTAGAACCTTTAGGTCTTGACAAACATTACTAGTAGACCCATTATTTTACACTAATCCCACGGGAGATTAATATGCCTTTTGCATGGGATTACTTGTTTATAAATCTATTATAATAAAAATAGACTCTTCTCTGCCAAAAAAAAAGAGAAAAATAAATATTTACCATAAACAATGCATTCAGGCTATCAGCTCCAATTTGGATAACTTCGGTCACCATGCCCTATTCTAACAATAATAAGAAAATATTCACAATCTTGACTCCAAAATTTTTTTTTATGCTATATCAAAGTGTGATTCCATTTAGCATTAGAAAATTATTTTTAAAATCTATTTTCGTTTTCTTAACTTCTTACTTAATTTTTTTACTTTTGTGTCATTTTTATTTTATTTTCTTACATTTATTTTGTATAATCATTAATATCATTCATTAAATTGTTTTATCCAAAATATTCAAAATAAACTATTTAATTCAATATTTATACATTATACAAAAGCAGCCTTAAAAAAATATTTATTTTATTAAATCTATATCTATTATATATCATATAAAATAATATATTTTGTTATATAAAATATTATATTTAAAAATGATTGCCACGTTGATTTTTATTTGCTTTTGCTATAATTTTGCTTTCAAGGTTAGTATTTAACAAGAAGTAATCGATCCTCTATTTTCCAAATATATGATTTGACTTTCACTGAATAAACCTTTCTTTGTGTCAATGAGTGAGATGGACGGTACACATAATGAGTTATTAAAGAATAGGAAATAATCAGATTAAAAATTTGCTTGCATACGTATAAAGATTTTCCCATTTACTCCTTCATTTAATTTGTTAGCAATATTTAAAAATTCCATGATTAATTGTTTGTCTTAAATTTTGAGATTTAGGTCCAAATCCACGTTTTTTCGGTTTATACAAATGATCATTATCATATTATGAATATGACTGATTATTATCATTTTATGAATATGACTGATTGTTATCATTCCATATCTGTAAATAATGTTACCAAATATTTTTGCTTAATTGGTTGCTATATTTGTTCATTTTCAACTTCTTATGATATTAGTTTGATCAAATTCAATTTCGTTGGTTGGTAAAACCAGTTGGAGAGGCAGTTTCTTTATTTTACTTCAATATTTTTTTTTAAATTTAAGATGTAGTGTAGCAATGAGCATTTACATAACAAAGTGGTCTAAACTAAATCCATTGATTGTCTAATTCAATGGGTGCCTTTAACGGTTTATCTAAAATTTGCACAAAAAAGGGAAGAGGGTGGGGGTTTGAGATGTTTCTTAGCAATAATTTACTTTTATTTTGTCCCTTTCTGAATATCCATGGGCGAATAATATTCTTCATATCATTTTGGGCATTTTTTTTGAAAAGAAAATTTTTTCTTAAAATTTTTTATTTCATTATTTAAAAAAAATTATTTCGCTTACCCCATTAAATAAATAAAATAAGAATATATTTTATTATGTGTATATTATTATTCGCTATTTATTTATATATTATAAAAATTATTTTGAATAAAGTGAAATGTATTATAGTTTGTTTAGTAAATTAAAAATATTTACCCTGTCAAATTTGACATATTTAGCTCAGCACATTTATTCTAAATAATTTTAATTTTACATGGTTTATTAAGTTGTTCATATGAACTTCGTATTATTAAATTCTGGTCATGTTATGCCTAAATTGGGATGTGAGATTGATGATTTTTTAATTTTGATACATAATATAAGTAGGAACATATCGTGTGAAAGCTTATGATATTCTGAAAAATGTAGTTGAAGCTGCTCTATTATCAGGATATCGACTATTTGGTAATTTTAATTTTTTTAAAATAAAGTTTTCTCTATTTCTATTTCAATAATGATTATTATTTTTTATTTCTAAAGAATAATTTTTAATGAAATATAGCTCTACGATTTTTGGTATTGTTTTTTTTGATAAAAAAATGAAATACTTGTTTATTCTTCTCATTATTACTTAGATGCGTTTTAGATTATTGTGGTTGTATAAAAATCTTTAAAATTTACAAATGTTTTAAAAGTAAGAAATTTAAAAATTTTAATGCTAAACTTTTTAGAATATTTTTTTGGCATATTTTTATATATGAAAAAAATCTTATTTCTTCTTTTTCAATAAGTGATGTATATAATATTTTTCCTTACAATTATTTTCTGATATGAGAATTTATTTTATGGGTTATATTTTTTGATTTAATTATTATTTGTATAAAAGTTATTTTTAAAATTGAAAATAAAAATTAAAAAATATCTGAAATAATAGCAAAGAAAATACTACAAAATAAAGTATATATTATATATACCTTAATTTAACACCACAGATACTGCAGAGAGCTATGGCAATGAACAAACTTTGGGTAAAATATTTGAAGAAATTTTACCAAAATATAATCTTAAACGTTCTGACATATTTTTGACTTCAAAGTTAGGTTTATAAGATCTAGACAATTATATTGATATAAATAAACTATTTTTTAAATTATTTAGCCCCTCAAAGTCAAGGTCCAAATGCTTATCAATCAGTTTTAAATTCTTGCAAAAATCTTAAAACAGATTATATTGATCTTTATTTAATTCATTGGCCAGGAACAAGTAAACTTAAGCCAGATGACCACAAAAACAAGTTTTTTTATCTATATTTATCAAATCTCCAAAGATAAATACCTTTTATTTTGAGCCCCCTTGGTTGATTCTTCCCAGTCAACGTTTTATTATGAAAGCTTAATTGTTCTGTCTATTATCTATCTTTGTTGAGCAAAAGATAATTTTCCTTGACTATTTATCCTATCAAAATTTTATTGTATAATCAGATAATTTATCATTAATAATAGACTAATGATCTTCAGTTGGTTCATCTAATATTAGGCTAGAGATCTCCAGTAAGCTCTTTCTCATGGTTGTAGTGATTTTTTTTAATTATGATGTTTCTAGGCTATCAGGTTTTTTTTTAGGATTTACCCTTAGGGTGATTCAATGTCAAATCGACAACAATCCGACAACCTCTTGATACATTGATTATATATGCAAAATTTATATAAATAAAATTTCAAAACTAGCTCAAATGGTCAAGAGTTCTAGGCTTTTAAAATCCAATTTAAATGTGATTTTGGTTCTAAAAATCTCAAATTACTTAAATATTTAGTCCAAATATATAAATTATATATCATTTTTTAACTTAATTAGGTTCTAAATTGCAAAAACAAAAATTGCTGAAAATTGTCCAATATCACTTATATTTCCTAGAAAATTTTTTAAAGTAATATTGAAAATAATATCAATAGATGTTAGTGAAGCACACTTAAAATTTAAAACTGCTAAAAAGGAGGATTCAAGAATTGCTAACAATTTTATTGGAATATTGATGATATTTCCTTTATTTGTAGCGATTTTTTTTAAAAAAACTATTTAAATGCAAGTGTTTACTTTCCTAGATCTATAAATATTAATTTTTAAAATTTTCTAGGAGATATAAATGAAATTCACATTTATTTTATTTTTAGTGATTTAGAATGCTGACCTTTAAAATTTTTCAGTGTTGATATATTTCCATTGAAACAAAAATAAATTATTTTGAGCTTGCCTTACCTTTGAGACGATGAAACTTACCAGATATGTTTAATAATTTTTATCAATATTTAATATCATTAAGAAATAATTGTATAATAGACATTTTATATTATAAACAAATAGCTATTATAATATTTAAAAAATATATATTATAATTATTATATAATATAGCCCATTTTTTTTCACCATTCAATATTTTAGATTATCATTTCCTGAGGGTATCTATTACTTGTTCACCTGATATTTGCTACTATACCTACTATTATCTATCATTTGAATGATATTGTTAAAAATAATTAGATTTTAAAACTCGATCCTATATTTTTATCGTTTTAGGTTATTTTTATTTTATAAATAAATTAATGAAAGGAACTAATATACAATTTTTGCTGTAATGCTTAAAAAAATAGCTAAAGTCTACTTTTTTGTTATATTATCTGGAACATGAAAGATTTTTAAATAATTAACGTGGCACATTTTGCTAATTTTGTTAAAAGGGCTAGATTTAATCAATTTGTGAAATGGTTATCTCAAATTTTGCCCAAAAATAAATTATTCAAGCTTGTTGAATTTTTTAAAAAAAAATGCAAACTATTGATATTTTTATTGCATTGGTTCAAAGATAGATGGTACTTAAAAAATAATTATAAATATCGCATCTGTTTTTAGTAATATCGGAAAATATTGAATCGAATTGGTGAAAATTTGTGGATTGGCACCTCTCTAAAAATTATCATTTATGATAAAGGCAATAAAATAAAACAGTGTTTATTGGAAATTTTTTTTTTAAAAAACCTCTTTTTTTTTTATCTTTTTCAAACATAAATACAGTTCCTTGTGAGAATTTAAGGTCTGAATTGGGCGGGTTCTAACCCGAAAAAAGATTTTTAAAACAGAAGTCTGTCCTGATTATTTTCCTAAATATTTAAAATTCACACGTCCATCGCCCCTCCCCCATTGTTTTTAAAAAAAATTGTCTAACCCTCCTGCTCACTCACCCAATGTTAAGATTTTTAAAAATCCCACGTTCGCCTGTAGGATGGGCAGGCAGGCTAAACACCTATCCATTGCTGACTTCTAGTAAGGATAGGGCGAATAATATAGTTTTTTTATATTCAGGCTGGATGTGAAATAAAAAAATTTCAAACTTAAAATTTTACCTCTGCATATCTTTCCTTATTTTACCGTATTTAATATTGCATAATAATTATATATCAAAAAATATTATTTCAAAAGATAGCGCTCTCTATATTTAGTTTATTTATATTCCCGTTATGAAAAATGAAATAATATTTAAATTCTTATTCACCATTTTAATTCTTATTTAAATATTTAAATAAATTGGTAATAAACATACCTGCTGAGTTTTATCTCACAAAATGGGGTTAGTTCAAAATAACTCAATTTTGTTTTACCGAAAATACATTTATCCAAGATTTTTTTTAATGAGAATTAAAGGACTTCACTTGAACTAAATGCTTATCTAAGCACTGTATTGAATCTTGAAGCCCCTAACTCCGAATTCATCATAGAGAGAGCTCCAAACATAATTATTTAAGTTAGATTCAATGTAACTATCATTCGGTGATATTTCGCTCGTTTTTAAGTGGGCGTCAAAAATCTTGTTTTTGGTCGATTTGTCATGGAATAACCTCCCCACACTTGTAAGATTTATTATTTTTCAAATTATGATAATTGAGAGATTCTTGAATTTATAAAACAGAAATAAATTATTTTACTATTTAAAATTCAAAGAGAATCTAGGATTGCTAGTTGGTCATGCTTAGAACAGATGGTAAAGGAAGGTAGACTTAAAAATATTGGCGTTTCAAATTTCAACATCAATCATCTAGAAAATTTGGTTACTAATTGCACAATAAAACCTGCTGTTAACCAAGTATTCTAAAATGAATATAATACATTGTTTTAAAAATAAAGCCATTTAACAATTTATAGTTAAATACGAGGCAATTTTTTCTAAATTATTCATGATTTAAATAAAATATATTAATTACAATTCAATATAATCACTTTATTAAGACCGTCACTATACCAAACAAACAACAACTTTAATAACGTATTTTTTTCAATTAATCTTTATCTTTCCTCATAAAAATTTAAGGTCGAATTCCACCCGTACATATATCAAACTCAAAAAAAGCTTCTCGCCTATTGCCAATCCCCTAACCTAAACATTCAGCTTCAGTCTTATTCATCGTTAGGCGGACAAAATATCGATTCGAAAGAAACAACAGTTCAAAATCAACTTTTAAATGATTCAACACTTTTATCCTTAGCTAAAAATAATCATTTTGCTAAAAATCCGGCCCAAATATTGCTCAAATGGTCTATTCAACATGGCTCCTGTGTTATCCCCAAATCTATACACCAATCTCGCGTTGAATCAAACGCGAAAATTTTTGATTTTGAATTAACATCTCAAGAAATTGCGATTTTAGACGATATTCGAATTCGAGAGAATAAAAAAGATGTTCGATTTTGTTGGGATCCCAGCGAAGTTGTATGAAAGATACTCAAGAAAAAAACCCATTAAATAGATTATACATTTATATGCTTGTGAATAAATTATATATTTATAAAAGGCATATTTGGAAACCTATGAAAAACATACTTCGGCTGCAAATATTCTTTCTTTTTAAGGCTACATTCAAATATGATTTTTTTGTTTGTTTTTATTTCTAATAAATTGTAAATAAACCTATCATTTTTTCAAATATTTAAACGGTAAAATTTTTTAGATCCTATTTTTAGTAATTTTTTCAAATACTTAACCGGTAAATTTTTTTAGATCCTATTTTTAGTAAATAAAATTACATTATACCTCATTATATTCGACCGATAGTTTGGGTAATTTACTGGTAGAGAAAATTATTTTCATAAGTAAAGTTAGAACCTGACCTTAATCGAATTTATCAGAGTTTGAAAAAAAAAATTATATTTATCCAAACTACTAATATGATTTTACCTGAAGAAACGGTAAGGCAATTTTTCTTTTGAAAATATTTATATTTTGTTGCATATGGATCGGCTGAAATTTTATTCATTATATAATTAAATACAATTACGAACAATATTAAATTAAAAATATATTTTAAAAAAACAAATAAGAATATTAAAAATTATATATATATATAAAATATATATTTTATAAAGAAAAACATTAAAACTAAAATAAATATATATTAAAAATGGTACATGTCACCATAGAGAAGAGTGAATGCTTTAAAAAATGGACCGGCGGATTTCAAGAAAAATCTGCTGTCGATTGTAAAATCTTTCTTTGGGGTCCACAGAAATTTGTCTTTTTCCCCTATCGTTTTAATATTGAGGACCTCACTTCTGAACATGCCTAAGGTATTGATAAAGATTGGTATGAACACTGTTGCTGAGACCATCATTTGTTTTTTTATGGATTTCTTCCTTTTCGAAGGCAGAAAATAAAATGGTAGACTTTACTGCAAAATAGACATAAGTATAGTCCCAAGTCAGCCGGAGACCGTTAGTCCAGGGAATGAGGGATATACCATCGGGGCGAATGGCGTTCTCATTTGAAAGATTCTGGTTCGAGAGTAGATGGTATATTAACTTTTTGAGGGCAAGATTTATGTCGAAGTTGGTGAGAGAATTTCCGTGATTTTCTTTTTACTGTAACATTTTATTGAATATATCATTCACACATAAAAAAATTTCCTTCTCCCCTTTCTCTAAATTATTTGTAGCTAGATTATAATAAAAAAAAATAATATCCGAATAATTAAAACATATTTTCTATCCCTATTCCTATTACCTCCTATCAGGCTACTACCTTTATTTTATTTCAATGAAACTGGCATCATACTCCTACTGTGATCGACCACTCATAAAGGGCGGAGTTATGTGAAAATGTGCTATCTTCTTTATAATAGAGGAAAAATGTTAGTTTTGAGTTAGATTATATTTTTTCCTTGCTAATTTGTTAATAGACATAGTCAAAATTCATATTCTTGAAATTTTATATATTAGTCGCGCTAAAGTCTATCAGTATCCTTAGCCTAGAGAGGGTGGTGTACAAGTTCCAAATCCGCAAATTATAAAATTTATTTTTTCAATTAAATTCTTATTCGAAATTATAATGAATAATATTACATTTTGTATAAATTATTATCTATTATGGGATTGAGAAATATTTAATTTTAAGACAAAACCAATGATATACATTGGACAAAACCAATGACAATTGGACAAAACATATGTACTAATAAATTCTATTAATTGCCATGTATCGCATAAATGCTTAAAAAAATTGATAAAGGTAATAAATTTTTAAATCAAAGAAATTTGCTAATTAACAGCAGTTTTTATCCATATTTCCAAAAGATATTCGCAAATAACCAATCCTAATCATGTAACCACGCACTACATACGACATCCAAGAGATAAAGATCCCAGATGGAAAGGTGTTTTATTATTTTATTGTTTCTTAATAACTATATTCTAGGCATAAATATGGAAAGATTTGTAGAAGAATGTGATGTAGTTATTGTTGGAGGCGGACCTAGTGGTTTATCAGCCGCTATAAAATTGAAACAACTTGCTAAAGAATTTAATCAAAATTTAAGAGTATGTTTACTCGAAAAAGGCCCATACATAGGTTTTTTAAGAGGATAAATTATTATAAATCTTAAGTTATTGTTTAAAAAATATTAGCCGCATACAATTTTTAATACCTCCTATTATAAAAATTTTTATCTTTAAACCATTTAAATTATTAAATTTTTGCAAAATAAAAATTTTTGCTTGCTATCTTACCTTATATAGAATTATGAAAAATTGGTTATAAAATTATAAATGTTACTACTTTCTTGTTTTTTTTTTCATAAAAAAAAATGATTTATTTAATTTGATAATGAGGGTATGGTTAAAATTAATAAATTAGAGAGATTTAGATTATAGTTAATTATCTTGAAAGATAATGGGATTAAAGTTAATAGATAAAAAATATTTAGGGTATGATTTAAATTATCTTGAGAGATAGATAATAGGGTTAAAAATTTAAAAAAGTTAGACTTTGATTAGAGAGATATGAGTTAGAAAATAAAGAACTAGGAAGAAATAGGTTAGGGTTAACTTATATCAGGGCTGTGTGTGTGAACCCTCTTTTCTAAAAATAATTGGTTTGGGTTCAGGGAAAAATCTCTAAACCTAGTTCAGGTTCGACCAGAAAAATAATGACTTATAAAAATTTGTTAAAATAACAGAAATATCATTTTTTTTTTAAATTTATTTTTTAGTATTGCAAAAATAATTTATCATCATAATTATAATATATATAATATAATACTACATTTTAAATAGGAAATCTTTTATAAATGAAAATCATAAATTACATGTTTTTTTATTTATATAAGATTGGACCCTGAACTCTAAATTTTAAAAAAGGGTTTGGGTTTGGCGAAATAACTAGGGTTTGGAATGGTTTAGGTTCGGGTTCTCTGCCATGATTTATATTTAAAAATGGTTTAATAATCTAGATATGCTATAATTTGGATGAAAGCCTGATTTAAATCAATATGATAGTGATATAAATAATTTTTTCCTAATTTTAAACATCACATCTTTTCTGATTTTAATAACATTAAATTTTGATAAGAATTTAAAAATTTTATTCTATAAAAGTATAAATTATAATTTTTTGATAAATAATTATATACTATTCTTTTTTATAAAGATAATTATAAATTTGTTAGGTGCCCACACACTCTCTGGAGCATGTATAGAAACCAAGGCCTTAGATGAACTTTTTCCTGATTGGAAAGCTAAAGGGGTATAATAATAAATATTTATTTATTGGCGTACACAGAGCTCTATTCTAAACAGAAAAATTTAGAGTCTAAGCTATGCCATATATTAATAGTATGATTTATTTTAACTTGATTTATTTTTTCAAAGTTATAAAATAATTGTATCATGCACACATTTATTTACAGGTAAATATAATTTTATTTTGCTATATTTTTAAAAATATAAATATAACTAATAATATGCTGCTAGGCACCTCTCAATACCCCGGTTCAGAAAGAAAGCTTTTTGTATTTGCTTAACAACACTAAAATCCCTTTGCCAATATTTAAAGGTATAATTCATTTAACTCAAATTAAAAAATATTACAAACAAACATCTATTTTAAATTGCTACATATAATGGTTAGTACATGAATATTTATTAATAATATCAAAGGTCTTCCAATATACAATATGGGTAATTATATAGTTAGACTTGGCAATCTTGTAAAATGGCTAGGAAAACAAGCTGAAGAATTGGGGGTTGAGATATTTCCAGGGTTTGCTGCAAGCGAAGTATATTAATTTTAAATCTATCTTTTATCACCCTTATTATTGTGTATTTATTTGAAATATAATTTTGATATGTTATCCAAGCATTTATGGAAATAAATAATCACAACTACTATATTCGATTAATTAGGAGAATGAGTTACTGATGATTGAAATGAAAGAATAGGGTAATTAGAATAAATTTGACTGCCAAAACTAGAGTTGTTAAAAAGTCCGATTCATGTCGATTTGACATAATTATAATATGTTAGCCTGGAGAATTTTGCTCATAAATGGAAGTCAGATTTTGACCGCTGATGAGGCTTACATTATATTATTTTGGTCCTCGAAATGTTTGGAATAGATTTCCAAATCTTTTTGCCAACTACGATCAAAATCTTCAGGCTTAATATTTTTTCTGGATAAAATATTGATTTAGCCGTTTTTCAAAATCGTCTCAAATTGAGCCATTTAAAAACACTAATTTTGCAGATTATTTTAAAGGGAAATTAATAAAACGAGTATCTAACGCTATAATTTTTTGTAACACTTCCCAGCTGCTTGATTGATATAATTTAATAATATTGACCCTATCCAATAGCCCGGCTAGGATTTTTAAAATTATAACATATTCCCGGTCGAGTTCCTCGACGGATCTGCAGATCTCTGATGTTAATTAAAGTTTCCAAGAATTTTATGACTAAAAGGTTACTATGCACATGCTGCTATACAATTTCCGGTAAAATCGAATCATAAAAAATTGTAATTTAATTGGTTCCCTCCATACTACAAAATGCATTTAACTTTAGAACATATAGTCTTTTCGGTCGTTTCTTATTTTTATCTCTTAAAAGATTGTTCAATTTTTTTTTAAAAATTTGATATCCAGGCTGTAAAATTTAAAAATCCGTTCCGGGCCGATGTTTTTAAAAAATAAAATAAATTGAAATTATATCGATTAATTAGTTGAATTAGTGGACCGTTTAATATTTATTTACAGCCCATATTTTCAATTTTCCTTTGTCAAACAATTTGCAAAATACATTCAAAATAACGGAATATTTAAAAATTCTTCATCCGAAATATTTCCGGGCTGGGTTTAAATCCAATTTTTTTTTCTAATCAGGAGAGCCTAAAGTTTTAACTTTTGCAGGTGAGTACCGTCCTATACGACCGTTACCGAATACCAATATAAATGAAATATAATTCATAGTTAATTTTATATTTATTAATTTTTTTCTTCCAGTCTCCCACGTTCACAAAAATATTATTTGATTATTTAAAGCCATTTCAATATTAATAAATCTTGTCCTCATTTATTATAAAAAAATATTAATCTTTTATCCCCATCCCTTTCAGATTTTGTACGATTCACCAACCCCACAAGGTGGCACTGAAAGCGACCGTAACGCATTACCAGTAGTGAGAGGAGTGGCAACAAACGACGTTGGGATAGCTAAAGACGGATCACCCAAGCCGAATTTTGAAAGGGGCATGGAGTTAAGGGCTAAGTTAACGTTATTTTCCGAAGGTTGTAGGGGTCATTTAACCAAAAGGCTTTCCCCTTATTTGGTCAAAAAAGATGGAAATGATGGCTTGGCTCATGGAGGTATGGTAAATATAATACGGATATGATATTTTTGTTGTTTTTTTCTATAATTAAGTTGATATATTTAATTCAACTCCATTTGATTTAAATTTTCCCCATCTAAAAAAAAATTGATTTAAATCAATATTTTTAACTTATACTTATTTATTAATTTTTATATCAAAATATAATCATTATTTATATTATACAATTTTTCAAAGCTTAATAAAAATAATCAATGTTCACATTGACCTTGCATATATCTAATCTATTTAGCCTTACCATTTTATTAGAATTTTACTTGATGTTAATAAGGGTGTAAAAAGAAAAAACCGAATTTTCAAACATAAAAAATGGCAGCGAAATAAAAATAACAATCATGGGTGTGCACCGATTCACAATTTTTTCACCGATCCTCTCCAATCCGATATTTGGTGATATTTAAACAGTACCGATACCGATCTGATATTTACACCATTTTTATCATTATTTTTTTAAAATCTGTGTATAAATATTTTTTTAAAAAGCGTTTTAATCAGTTAAAAATCTAAAATAAATAACTTTAAAATTTTCTAAAAATATGTCTTATCTTTAAATTTGTAGAAAGGTTTTTATTTATAAGATATTTAGTAAATAATGTCTTATTTTATTAAGTTAAAGAGCCCTTAGAGAATAATTTTATATATAGTTACATTTTATTTATTTTTTTTGAAAATAATCAGAATTTTTACATATCTATTTTAGCCTTCATACAAATAGGAAGTATAAATTTATGTGTTAGCTATATCTTCTTATTATCTTTATTTGAATATAAAATAGAAACAAATTTAAATATCAATTATTAAATATGAAATGAAATGAAATAACCGCTCGATTTGAGCCAATTTTTAAAAACGGCTAATTCACGAAGAAAATTATTACGGAAGCCATAAGATTTTTTGGACATCTATTAACGAAATCTCGAGGTATTAAGCGATATTTTTTGGTTAAAATATTGGATTAGCCGTTTTTAAAAGTCGGCTCAAATCGAGCTATTTAACAACGCTATCTATAACACCAGCTGTGCTGAAGACTGATTCTGATGGAACACTTGTTGCAGGAGATGCTAAATATTAACGTGCAAGGTTTGCTAAAGTTGAACCTTTGAGCATCACCCCTCCAATATTCGAGAGAATCGATCGGAGATAAAATATTGATATATTTGTTAATTTATCAAATTTAACACGATTTTTATTTATTATAAGTTATTTTCTTAATAAACACAATGGAATAAACAATAGATAAATTTAAATACACAAAAAAATTTAGGTAATATTAGTGTATTTATATACTTTACTTCTTTTATCTTAAAAAATGTATTAAAAAAACATTAAACATTTTTATATTTTTTATGGGGAGTTATGAAGATTTATTACAAAATAAATAAAATAATGCATAAAATCGGTATCGGTTAAATTTAAAAAAAATATCGGCCGAACCGATATTTTTTTTTTAAAGTTTAATATCGCCGATTTGATACCGATATTTAATGCGGGACAAGCTCTACTTAAATATCATTTTAACTTAATTTTTAAGCAAATTCCTTTAAAAAAAATTAGTCTTTTTAAAGTAAATAATTCAATTTAAACAAAATGAGCAAATTATAAATTGATCGTTATAACGAAAAATTTCCAACCATCTTTGTAGATTGATATATAAATGTTGGCGTCAATGTTTTTCCGGCAATGTGTTATCTTTTCAACTTTAAATCATTTTTTTTGAGCGCATTTTTTTAAATTTAAAAATTTAGATTTTGCCGGAACAGTTTTCTTGGAATACTTACTCTATAAATATGAAACAATTTCGCTATGAATTTTTGAACTTAATAAAATTTTTATTAGTTTTTCCATAGATTTTTTTATATAAATTATAAATGACTCAAAGGTTAACAGCAAAATTATCTAAAATTTATAAGATGGGTATTCTAAACATGCTGGAATAAATTTCCGGTAAAATCCAATTTTTAAATTTAAAAAAATGCGCTCAAAAAATGATTTAGATTTGAGAAAATAACACATTGACGCTGACATATATGTGATTGTGATAATTAAAATTTTAGCAATAAAATGCTGGTAAGGATTTTAGCAGTTATAAAAACAAGAAGAAAAAATAACATTCGTTTTTTTCTTCTTTAAATTTATATTTTATCCCTTGATAATAATTAAATTAATGCTAAAGTTGAATTTGAAAACTTATATCAATATCTAAGTTACGAAAGAAAGACACTCTCTCTTACTTTATTTCTCTCTTAGAAATTATTATGGAAATATATTATTCGATTTTTGACAGATAACTTATATATTTCGTCAATTTTAAGAAATATTTTCTATAATTGTTATAGGCACGCATAAATCTGAACCTCAAATATATGGCATAGGCTATAAGGAATTATGGGAAGTCGATAAGAGTCAACATGTACCGGGCTTGGTTGAACATACCATTGGGTTTCCTTTGGTAAATCACATTTAATACTCTTTCAAAATGGATTCAGTTAAACCTTTACAAACACCATAAAATATGGCAGAGAAATTTATTTTTTTTAAAAGTTTTTGTTAGTATTTGTCTTAAGCTATATTTATGGAACACGTTATATTTAAGCTTTTACGAATGCAGCGTTATTATAGCTGATTCAGTTTTAAAAAATAATTTAAGATAAAGCTAATAGAGAGATAATTATTTTATATAATATTTAAGAAAAATCATATACTTTTTTATAGAATTCGCTATTATTTTTATAATAATATCGCATAATTTTTATCAGCGGAACATGTGTTTTTCAAATTTTACCATAGCGTTATCATGATAACGCTCCATATTTATAAATTTATACCTATTGGCTTTTTTGTAATAAATAACGTAACATTTGGGATGAAGCGCGTTTGCTATAAATGCGGCTTTAGGATGTTTTATATCAATCGTTTAAAATAATTTTTTTGAACCACCTAATTTTGCCGGGATCCAACTACCTCATTGCCATGAAATCTTGAAATATCATAATATTTATTTTTATATAATAAATGACATTAGAAGGTTAGGCTGTGTTGACCTAGATATCAAAAATATAATTAATTAGATTTATCAACTTTAATTAAAAAAGAGAAATGAGTATTTTTAATGTAAAAATAAAATAGTGGTCTAAATCATTTTTTTTTATCTTGAAATTATTAATATTTAATAAATATTAACTTAATTATAGATTTGTGAATTTTTACGAAAAAAAAAATATTTTATATTTTTCAAATTATAATAAGAAATAAGCAGTTATATTAATCAAATAGGGAAGTATTTGAAAAAATAAATGAGAAGTATAAAAAAATTTTAAATGGATTTTATAAATTAATGCAGTAAAATTAACATTATAATTATAAATTAGTATAATATTCATTTAAGTAAGCAAAAATTTGTGAATTCTTCATCCAAAACGCATCATTGGCTTTGCTTTGGCAGTCACTAATTCTCTCGACTTCTACGCATCTTTACCTTACAAAATTTACAAATTTGAAATAATATTTAATGGGAGATTTTTGTCATGTTTCATAAATTTATAATTTTGATTATTTTAAAAATATTTAAGTCACAGTCTTAAGTGGGTTTAAAATAATTAAGAAGGGGGAGAAGAGAAATCAATATTGTTGTTTATTCCTTAAAATATTTATGGAGAGAGAATGTATTACCATTTAGGGGAATGGTTTGGAAAAAGTATATAAAGGGAGGAAAATAAATTGTATTATTTTTTTTAAAAGATAGAATTTATTAAGTAATTAAATTATAATAAATGTTTAAACATAGACTAATTATTTTATTATAGATTTTATGAATATAATCAACTATCTCCTTCTTTTATACAAAGATTATTGTTTTTTTAAAAAATATTTATTTCCATTTTTTTACAGGACTACAAAACATACGGTGGTTCCTTCGTTTACCATTACTCATCGGAGGAAGGTGGTGGTACTCCATTGGTCAGTTTGGGACTGGTTATGGGACTGGATTACTCCGATCCTTACCTTAACACATTCAAGGAATTTCAAAAACTCAAAACTCATCCCCATTTTCTTAAACTTCTGTCCAATGGGAAAAGGATAGGATATGGGGCTAGGGCTCTCAACGAAGGTGGATATCAAGTAAACTGTCGAATTCTTTCCTAATAATATTTATGATTGTCGTATTTAATCCCAATATTTTATATAAACTGTCATATTTAATCCCAATATTTCAAATAACCTTGTTGAAATTATATATATTTATGTACCCATACCATATCGTTATCCATTCAAATTTTTAATTTGATTAATCCCATAACATATTAAAATATCCAAAAATCAAAACAAAGGAAAATAAATCATGTGATCTTTCCTGTCGAGTTTATAAGTTATGCAGTGATTCTTACTTGAAATATTTTTCTTTAACGTTTGTTGACCCCAATTTGCAGTGTTGTTAAACAGCTCGATTTATTCAATTAGAAAAACTAACTCAAGATTTTAGTCAAAAATATATTTAGCAAGCATAGGGTTGGAAATTTTCGGGAATTGCGGTAACTTTCATATGGGAATAAATTGGAGTTTATGGAAATACATCGGAAATAAGGGAATGTAAGGGGATTCATGATATCGTTTAAATTGTAACCAACCAACAGATAAATAATAATGCAAATAATAAATATAATAAGAGTATAGATTAAACGTTTAGTATAATAAATCTTCAAAACTCGATTTCACTTGTACTATCATCAACCCTTTCAACGCCCATATCATCCGAATCTGATCAATTTCTGATAAACTATTTTCTTCAAAAATCTATTGTTTCTAGATTTTGTAGGCTTGGGAAACAAACACTATTAAATGTGAGCTACGAGAATATTTTTAATGAATGTATCAAGATTTATGATTATTTATAAGATAAAGGATTTAAGTTTTTAAAATAATTTTTAAAATATTTAAAAAATTAGGAATGTTCCTGGTCAATAAATTCCATAGGATTATGACCGGGTTGGGAAATCTAGAGGCATAGGTAATATAATATTTTGACTAAAATATAGATCTGACTCGTTTTTAAAATTGGTTAAATCGAACCGTATAACAAAACAACTAATTGAGTATCAACTTTAGAAACATATGTTTATATTAAATTTATTATTATTTTTTAAATCTTATTTGATTTATTAGGATATGTTGCTTTGTTACTAATTATAATTTTGTACTTGGCATTTGATAGAAATTGGCATAAAATGTTAATATTTACTTATAAAATTAAAAAGCAAAGAAAATTCCGAGAGGTCAAAAATATTCCCTTCATGTATAGTCTTAGCAGGGTTTTCATTCAATTATACTTATCATTACGTTAACTCATCAGATTAAATATAAATGTTTTAGTGTATTCCCAAGTTAACTTTTCCCGGCGGTTGTATAAGTGGATGCGGGGCAGGGTTCATGAACGTGGCGAAAATCAAGGGCACTCACAACGCAATGAAAAGCGGAATGGTCGCTGCCGAAAGTATTTTCGACACCATCTATCCTCTTGTCAGAAGTCGTCCCGATAAACAGGCGATCATCGATTCCAATAGTAGGGTAGGGAAAAATTGTGAGTTTTAAAAAAAAAATCATAGTAAAATAATATCTTAATATCTTAATTACTTATTTTTGTTCTTTTATATCTTACATCAGACCTGGAGCCTATCATATACGAGCAACGTATTAGGGAAAGTTGGGTATGGAAAGAGTTGTACCAAACCCGCAACATTAAACCCAGTTTCAATAGCAGCTTAGGAATATACGGCGGCATTTTGTACACCGGAATATTGTATTACGTGACCAGGGGGAGAGAGCCGTGGACCCTTCACCATAATAGTAATATATTTTTTTTTATTTAAGGGAAATGGTTAGAATGATTTATTTCTTATGGAGTATCAAAGGTCAGCAGCTTCATGAGAGAAGATTATTTGGAGGTTGTTTACCCACCTCCCCTAGAATATTTTCCCCTTCTATTAAACAATTTATTTTAAAATTTTATTCAAAAAATAGCCATTTATAATTAAAAAAAAAATTATACGGTGAATCAAAATCGCTTTCTTACTTACCTGATTTTTATTCAACGACTCTTGAGAATGCATTTTAATGAATGAATTATTATTAGTTTAGGTAAGTATTATACGTCATTGAGTTATCCGCTTCTGGATATTCTCAAAAAAGTAGTTCTACTCTTGATTCCCTTATTGAAAAATGAGTTCAAGTTTCAGTTCCTAAATTTTGGTTCCAAGTTCTCGTTCCAAAATCTGTTAAAAAGATTAAATCCTCCTTCCCCACCCCAAATTGTCAAAGTTTGAAATGCTCTACAAAATAGATCTGAAGATTTTTTGAGAATACTCAAACATATTTGATCAAATTTTAATTAAAATTCCAAATCCTTTTTATGTAAAAATCGAAAGATTTTTAGGCTTGAAAATTTTTTCATGATAAAATTACAAAATATTTTGGTAAATTTTTTAACTCTGCAATAAATAAACTTTCTTCTAAATTAAATCGCACAACTTTTAATCAATATTATATAAATTATTCATATTTTTTGGAAATTTAAAAATGGATTCCAGCTTTAATTTCGGGTTTACCAGGGGTTCTTGTTCAAAGTTTTGAAAAAAATTTTTATCATATGGAAATAAAAATAATGATAGAACTTGATAATCTCAAACTCCGTCCTGCAGAAGATTTTCGGAACTCGCCCCGCCACAAAAATCCTGATTATTATCCTTCCCCTTCCAAAAACCCTACTACCTTCGATATTCTAACGTCGGTCGCCTTAACTGGAACCAACCATGCCCCGGACCAACCGTGTCATCTTGTTCTCAAAAATGATGAGGTGCCAGTCAAAGTCAATTGGAACGTATTTGCCGGACCCGAGGCTCGCTATTGTCCAGCTGGTACGTAAAGAAGACTGTAAATAAACATTTTTAATCTGATTAGTGTCCCTTTAAATTAATTTAAAATTTGGGTTTTTGAATTTTTTTAAAAAATAATATATTCGAGATGTATCGATACAGATTTTTAGATGCCTCCAATATCAAGTCGATATAACCAGATAATCGATATTATTTAAAAAAAATTACCTTGTTTATTTTTCATGGGCATTTTTAAAAGTATCAACCAATACCGACATTTTAAAAACGATAGTTGCTAAAAATCGGTGTATTCATATGTTATATATGGTTTGTGTGTGTCGTAAATGATACATTTTATAATATAATGTCAATCATATTTGTTTATCTATGTGTTTGTATATAGTTTAAAAAAATGTCAATCATTTTTTTAATATTAGGAATCAATAGATATATATTTTTTTGTGAAAAAAATCACTTTTAATTTTGATAACATTTTTGTTAATTTTCATAAAACCTTTTGAATTATGATAACATTTTTCGCTTTGATTTTTGACTTTTTGTAATTTGATGAATATATTTTACTTAATAAAGATGATGAATATATTTTACTTAATAAAGATATAAGTCCAAATTTCAGTTCCGTGTTTATTTTATTTTATAATTCTGAATTTAGCTCTTTAATTCGGTAGTTTTTCCTTCTGAGCTTATTCTTATATTAGAATTTAGTCTCACATTTTTTTCATATAGTTAACGTTAAGTGTTTTTTGACAGTTGTTGACCGCGACTACCAGGATAGTTTCGATTCCAGGGTTATTCGGTATTTTAAGGTAAAAAATATTTTATTTTATATTTTGTATCTCTACTCAGAACACAACGCAATCACCTTTTTGTGTAAATTTTTAGAAATTTAACACGGCCGTTTTAAAATAATATAAATTTTTCATATAATGAGATGGGCTTTTTAATTTTGATAGTGAGCCTAGCTTCTTTAATAAAATTTCGGAGTATCCGAGTATTAATTGTCAAGATTTGTATCAAATGGTTGATAAATTTGATGTGAATAATGCATTAGTGACCATGTTATTGTTGGTCATACTGTATGTTATATATATTGTAATAAAATTTTTGTTTGGAAAATGTACTCTGGTTGCGACCAAAGTATATGATAATTGGAAAATAGACACTCCGGTGTCGGCAGATTGTTGGAAAAAGATTTCGGTCTTGGAAAGTAGTTTAAATGGAATTTTAAATGAAATCAAGATAGGCAGACCTGAAAGGGTGGAAACGATGAAAGATAATAACGATGATCGTTCGGAATTAGTGGAGAAGTCAGTAGTTGACCTCCAGGAATTAAATAATATAAAAGAATCTATTAAAGATATTTATAGTGAGTTATCTAAATTGATTAATATGAGTAATCAAGGGGACAAGAAACAACTCGGTGATAGAATTATTTCGAATGGAAAGAGTTTTCCAAAGATTGTTGCTGACATAACTTGTAATCGGTGCGGGTACAAAGGACATTATTCTAAAACCTGTGTTGTTAAGGAACAGAATTTTAGAATGAGTTTTCCACTGCAAAGGTCTAGTGGAGAAACTGTCAAAAAAAAATTAACGTTAACTATATGAAAAAAATGTGAGACTAAATTCTAATATAAGAATAAACTCAGAAGGAAAAACTACCGAATTAAATAGCTAAATTCAGAATTATAAAATAAACACGGAACTGAAATTTGGACTTATATCTTTATTAAGTAAAATATATTCATCATCTTTATTAAGTAAAATATATTCATCAAATTACAAAAAGTCAAAAATCAAAGCGAAAAATGTTATCAAAATTAAAAGTCATTTTTTTCACAAAAAAATATATATCTATTGATTCCTAATATTAAAAAAATGTTTGACATTTTTTTAAACTATATATAAACACATAGATAAACAAATATGATTGACATTATATTATAAAATGTATCATTTACGACATGCCACCCCTTTATGGGCTGTGGCACGCCAAAAAAAAATATAAATTTAACAAGGGTCGGGATGCAGCGGATTTTGTGGGAGTCCTCACAAGAGCAATTGATTCTCCCACAACTCCATATCATCGATACGTGGGGCCTCTGCAGAAAAGGCGGACGTCGTCAGAGCAGGCCCGTGAATACTATTGACAGCTCGTTGAAGAATATTGTCGGTCGGGGGGTTTGATATGCTGCTAGAACTACCGCTGGATGTGCCAATTAGCGCACCCCTGTTGGCCGACGGAGCCGGTCGCATAGGAGAAAATGGAGCTGGCCCTTGCATTGAGTCCACCATTCTCCTTCGATAATACTTGGTCGATCGTCCCATGGCATTGTCATTGATCGGGGCTAGAGGCGGTCGTCCATCTCTACCTAGGTTCGGACACTGACTCCGAATGTGGTCATCGCTATGACAATGGAAGCATTTTCTTTTACGGAGCCCCTCTGACATCATAGAATTATCCTGCGACACTGGTGCTTGTATTGTCATGCCGGTGTTTTTTGGTATTAAGGTTACTTGAATGTAACACGATCCCAGATCTATCAAGCGGCTGGTTGTCTCCATGTGACTGATAGTATGGAATATTTGGATATAAGATGCAACGGGAAATACAAAAAAAAACTTCTTTTTTTTTTTTAAAAAAAAATTTAAATTTTACACCAAAAATTTTTTTTTAAAAAAAATTAATCTTTATATAAAATTTTATGATTAAAATATAGAAAAATTTAAAAAAGTAATTTAATTTATTTTTTTTAAAAAAAATTTTATGATTAAAAATATAGAAAAACCTTCTATATATAATGTTTATTCCAAAAAAAAACTTGTATTGATGTATACTATTTACGGCGCAAAGCACACAACTGTCAAAAAACACTTAATGTTAACTATATGAAAAAAATGTGAGACTAAATTCTAGTGATTCGTCATCACGATCATGTAAGATTGGGATAAATAAGAAGCGTCTTAATTTTTTGGGTTCATATCGGTTCGGGTTCCGAATATATTTGGTCATATTAAAAATATGTCAATATATACGGGTTGTTGGTCATTTTCGATTAAAATCATAGTTCAATTTAGACATGTTTAATAAAAAGTTTGTCAACATGGTAATGATATTGGAAAGTTTTTTTCGGTTTAGTTCGTTAAGGAATGTTCTTTGTCTGCTTTGTTAAATGAATAACAGATTTTTGTTAATTTAATGAGTAGATGTTTTTATTTATCTTTTCGTGATTGAATAGACAAGTTTTGTTTTTGTCTTTTATTAAATGAATAGAAAGTTTTTTTAATGTAATGAAAAGATGTTTTTATCTTTTCATGATTGAATAGACAAGTTTTGCTTTTATCTTTTATTAGATTAATAGAAAGTTTTTTTTTAAGGGTATTCAAATAGCTGATGATATTAATGTTGGTCAACTTAAACATTTGGTAAGAAGATGGTTGATGTATTAAATATTTGTTTCTCCCAGTTCTATGGTTGCAATATTTTTTTTCTTACTTATTTTTAAATGTAGTAATGAATAATATTAATTTTGGGGGATTCGCGTGAGTGAGTTAGAATATTATGTTATTTGTTTCACTTGACGCTCACACCAAGGGATATTGTAATAATATTATTGAGAAAATTGAAGCACATGGGAGACATAGTTTTTGTTTTTGTGATAATGTGCTTTGCGCCGTAAATAGTATACAATATAAGTTTTTTTTTTGGAATAAACATTATATATAGAAGGTTTTTCTATATTTTTAATCATAAAATTTTTTTTAAAAAAAATAAATTAAATTAAACTTTTTTAGATTTTTCTATATTTTAATCATAAAATTTTATATAAAGATTAATATTTTTTTAAAAAAAAAATTTTTGGTGTAAAATTTAAATTTTTTTTAAAAAAAAAAAGAAGTTTTTTTTTTGTATTTCCCGTTGCATCTTATATCCAAATATTCCATACTATCAGTCACATGGAGACAACCAGCCGCTTGATAGATCTGGTATCGTGTTACATTCAAGTAACCTTAATACCAAAAAACACCGGCTTGACAATACAAGCATCGGTGTCGCAGGATAATTCTATGATGTCCGGGGGGCTCCGTAAAAGAAAATACTTCCATTGTCATAGCGATGACCACATTCGGAGTCAGTGTCCGAACCTAGGTAGAGATGGACGACCGCCTCTAGCCCCGATCAATGACAATGCCATGGGACGATCGACCAAGCATTATCGAAGGAGAATGGTGGACTCAACGCAAGGGCCAGCTCCATTTTCTCCTATGCGACCGGCTCCGTCGGCCAACAGGGGTGCGCTAATTGGCATCTCCAGCGGTAGTTCTAGCAGCATATCAAACCCCCCGACCGACAATATTCTTCAACGAGCTGTCGATAGTATTCACGGGCCTGCTCCGACGACGTCCGCCTTTTCTGCGGAGGCCCCACGTATCGATGATATGGAGTTGTGGGAGAATTAATCGCTCTCGTGAGGACTCCCACAAAATCCGCTGCATCCCGACCCTTGTTAAATTTATATATTTTTTTGGCGTGCCACAGCCCATAAAGGGGTAGCATGTCGTAAATGATACATTTTATAATATAATGTCAATCATATTTGTTTATCTATGTGTTTGTATATAGTTTAAAAAAATGTCAATCATTTTTTTAATATTAGGAATCAATAGATATATATTTTTTTGTGAAAAAAATCACTTTTAATTTTGATAACAATTTTGTTAATTTTCATAAAACCTTTTGAATTATGATAACATTTTTCGCTTTGATTTTTGACTTTTTGTAATTTGATGAATATATTTTACTTAATAAAGATGATGAATATATTTTACTTAATAAAGATATAAGTCCAAATTTCAGTTCCATGTTTATTTTATAATTCTGAATTTAGCTCTTTAATTTGGTAGTTTTTCCTTCTGAGTTTATTCTTATATTAGAATTTAGTCTCACATTTTTTTCATATAGTTAACTTTAAGTGTTTTTTGACAGTGCGCTTCGCCTATAAGCATTTCGCCTTTTGTTTAAGACTTTCGCCTATAGCTCTTTTGTCTAAGGAGCGCCAATGAGTAATAATGAGAGTTAATAAGTACTAATAAGCGTCAATGAGTAAAATAAGCGGAAATGAGTGATAATTTATAGGTAATTTATGTTGTCGATGAGAAAAAAGCATAGCCCTTATAACCATGTTTATATAAAGGTTGGACTTAAGATTTTAATTAATTTAAAACAAATGGAACATATTGTGAAATGATTAAAAAAGATATTCCAATCATTCTATTACAATGTTTTTATGCAAATAAACATTTTACAATATTTTTTGTGTTAAAATAGGTTTGGTATTGATTTCTTAATGCAAATAATTTATCATCAAACCAAAATTCTTCACTTGAATTCATTATTTTCAGGATTATGATTCCTTGTTTAAAAAAATCAGGTATAAATAGAAATTTAACCCAACTGTTTAAACTAATATACCAAGTTACAGAAGTATCTCATTTCATTTAAATGACAAATAATGTATAGATGACAATCATTAAAAAAATGAATCGATGGATTAAATATTTAATAAATAATTTAAAAATAATCCTAATGTTGATGTTAAGTTTAGATCGAATGGCTAGATGTTTATGATCTTAATTATATTATATTTGTATAAATTCTATTTTATTTATTTTTAGATATACTATACTCATTTGTCATCTATATCATTCTTTGTCTCTAATGAATTAAATAAAATAAATTAATTTTGAGATTCTAATCTCTGTAACTTGGTATATTAGTATAAATTATTTATATTAAGAAACCGATACCAAACCTATCTAATAAAAGATTTAATTTGATAAATTTATTTAACACAAAAATATTGTATAATGTCTATTTGCATAAAAACATGTATTATATTATTTTTTTCGAAAAATATTTTAATCATATCAACAATATGTTTCATTTGTTCCAAATTAATTGAAATCAATAAAGTTTAATCTTTTATATAAACATGGTTATAAAAGCATACCATGTTCTTCCTCTCATAAGCCTTCGACAATATAAATTGCCTATAAATTACTACTCATTGGTGCTTCTTATTACTCATTGACGCTTATTGGCACTCTGGTGCTTATTATTCTCGCGGTCACTTATTAGCACTTATTAGTACTTATAGTATTAGTACTTATTGCCGCTTATTATTACTCATTGGAGCTCTACGGCTCTTATAGGTGCTCCTTAAGCGAGAAAGCCAAAAATGTCTTATGCCAAAAATCTCTAGGTGAAATGGTTACTTATTGGCGCTTCTTAGGCGAAATATCCATAGACTAATTGTTTACAGTTCGCCGGTATACCGTTATATATATTATATAATAACCATATTTTTTACAAGTCCTAGTAATATATACTATACTTCTTATCAGTGGGAACAACTATCAATTCGATCCGACAAAAAATTATATCAGTTGCTTAAAATTGGAAAAATACTGTATATATGATTTATTTTTTTAAATGTAAGCCGTCTACGAATTCATTCCTATAGAAGACAAGGATTCCTCCGTAAATGATCAAGTTAGCTTAAAAATAAACGCCCAGAACTGCATCCATTGCAAAACGTGCGACATCAAAGATCCTACTCAAAATATTGATTGGGTGACTCCGGAAGGAGGCGGAGGCCCCGCTTATGATGGCATGTGAATTTTTGTTTTGCTACTTGGAAGAATTATTTTTTTAATTATTTTATAATTTTTGTTCCTAATTTTGTAGGAGTTATATATTCCTTACTATGATAAAAACACACCTTCTTTTATTTTACTATTTTTTTATTCTAATTTTTTTTCCAAATAGAAATACGACGAGAGATCCTTTTTTTGTTGAAGCGAATTTAATTCCAATGTTCAAAAACTAAACACATATTCACCAGTAGAAAAAATAAATAATATATTTTTTAAATTTATAGTAATACTTACAGCATAAGTAATTTATGCTCGTTATATTTTTATACATAATGGTACGAACTATTTTGGCTCAAAGTTTGCCCAATTTCTCACATAATTTTTATAATTTTATTTTCAATTATCCAAATTTATACAAAGATATATAGGTACTAAAATTGTTTTTTTTTGGTACTTATTTTTTTCTATTTAATTAATATGATTCGATTGGTATAATAAAATTAAAGTTATCGAAATATCTAAAAATACCAATTGATTAATTTTCATATTTATTTATATATAAAAAATGAATTATATTAAAAAATATTTTTTTATACCCAATTTTAAAATATTCAGACAAACGCACATGATATTTTAATATTCGCTCTTAATATCCATGCTTTTTTTAATATTCGCTCTTAATATCCATGCTTTATTTAAACGTGATTAAATCATAATTTTTTCTTCTTAAATTTAATAATTCTACGATAAAATTATTTTATTATTTCAATTTTTTTTTTCTTGAGACTTTTTAGCAGTATTAATTAAATAATTTAAAAAAAACAAAAATAGTAGTATTTATTATAGTTTATTTTATATTATGGAATTTGTTGAAATTATAAACTGTGATTGTTATAAATTATATAATTATTTATTGTGAAATATATTGCTTTACGCTAGTGTTAAAAATCCCGATTTGGGCCGATTTTTAAAAACGACTAAAGATTTTAGCCAAAATAATATTATGTAATCCTGGAGATTTTGCTTATAGGCCAAAATATTGAGGCATATGCAATATTAAGTTGAGTTTTCATAATGTGTTCAAACGATGAAAGGAATGTTTGTTTGTCTAATTTATTATATCTTGGTAATCTTCTCTATCTTGAAAATTTTTCTTCTATTTGCTTTATCCTGAAATTTAATTACAAGAAGGCAAAAACTTAATCAATAAACATTAAAATAATTTTTTGACTATAACTATACAAAAATAGTAATAAAAATGAATATTGTTTGAATAAAAAATGAAGCAATATCAATATTATCAATTTTTTATTTATTATTTGTTAATTAATTTTTTTAAAACTTCTTACTGTTTGTAGCTATTTTATATTAGATATTTTTTCTTAAAAATAAATTTAAATTCATAGTCTTTAAAATATGCAATTTTCTTTATTTAAAAATTTATTAAACTAAATTTATATTATGTGGGTTATTATACAAAGGGAGATCGAGGTTTGTTAACGAGCTATTGGTTAAAATCATAATATTAAGATAGTTATCTTACTCAGAAGCCAGAGAGAACTGTAACGAATATAGGGTCAGGTGTGGGTTCAAATAAAAATAACGATTGTTGTTCGGTTATTAAAAAGTACTATCGGTTCGAACCGAACTTCTAAAACACTAGTTTAAACTCTTATACAAACTTACATTAAAATTATAAATAAAGCCTATTTTTTTTTATTTAATTAATATAAAAATAAGACAGTTAAAAATTTAAAATAGCAATACATAAAAACTGTGACTGAAACTTATAAATCAAAATTGATTGATAATAATCTTTAACAACATTGTGATATAAATTAAAATTTTAGCAATAAACCCGTAATTACTTCCAGACTATTTTATAAGCGTAAAATCAAAAGGTTCAGACCGGTTGACTATCATTAATGGCGATTTGGTTAGGATAGAAAATTATTTAACGGCTTGCTTCAAAGTTCGATAAAAAAATATCGGTTAAATGGTTCGGTTTGGATCCCGATACAAAATATAGATAAGGGATATTTGGAATAATGATCACAATTTACAGACCACCCTCCCTCTAACTTCCTATCAATTCGGTTATTTTTTTGAAAATTTCTTCAAATATGGATATAGTACCATATGCACTCTCGGGTTGGGCCATATCGCCAATACTTGTATCTTTTGCGCATTTTAAAAAAGTATTGGTTGGTATCTTAAATACTTTAAAAAAAAATAAGTATCTGCGTATCTTTAACTATTTAATTTTCAAAAGATATAGATATTTAATTTTTCATTATTTTTTGATACATTGAAATGTTTATTTAAATTAAAATTTTCCCACCAATATATATATATATGTTAATAGTGCCGTGCATAACATTTTGGAATAGTGTTCATCAACTTAATTTTGCAAAGTTGAATGATACTGAAATAAAATATCTTGAGGAATATACTAAATCAATGTAAAAATTTTCCCTTAGCAATAGCTATTGATAAGCTGCAATGCTAATTATGGGGATTTGGTCCCAATTTTATTTGTTATAAAAATAGGTGCATATGATTTTCAAAAAGGCTTACGTTTTAGCCTATTGTTAAAGCCAACAAAATTGGGTTGAATAAAAGATTTGGAAATACTTTTAATTTTAACTATAAATAAAAAATGGGTTGATATTTTTAAGGCCAAGGTACCAGCCTACAAATTTATCCTCTTTTTATTGAAGAGGAAGATTATTTTTATTTAAATAATATATATTCAATAATGAATCCAATTAAATTAAATTGGATATTAAATTATATTAAAGACGATCCCTTGGAACCAGCTACATATATATATATAAGGAAATCAAAGATTTTTTTTGAAAAATAACATTATTTTGCTTCAGCCCCAGTTGAAGGTTATTTAACTTTGCAAACCGTCGCATGCCAAAAATTGGCATAGATTGTCAGATAAATTATTTGAGAAATTAATTATAATATTAAAAAATAACAATTATAAAATTTTCAATGTAGTTAAGGTAAAGTGTTAAACTGCTCAATATAATATTTCTGGACAAAATATTAGTTGTCCGTTTTTAATCAGTTTAAAACGAGTCGTTTAACAACACTATTTAGGTTTTACGAGATTTAATATTATCCGTATAAACAGGGAGCTAAACTCAAATAAATATAGATTTATACTGGTTCAGATAAAAATAATGGTTCGGTTCGTAAAAAATAATAATATCGGTTTGGTCAGAACCTCTAAAAACTATTTTTTATACACAAACTTTCATTAGAATTATATATAGAGAGGCACATATTAAAACTCTTATTTTGCAGAGTTGTTAAAGGATCTAGATACAAGTATCTAGATCCTGTATCTAGATATAAAAATGTGGTATCTGTATCTAGATAGATTTTTGATTAAAACATCTGTATCTAGATATTATTTTAGACAATGTATCTGTATCTAGATCCATTTAAAAAGTATCTTTTAACAACTCTGTTATTTTGTTATTGATTGCACGTTATAAATATTTAATTTATAAAATAATAACAGATCAAACTTCAATATTGAACATTTTTTATTTAAAAAAAATGGTATTGAGACTCATAATTAAAAAAATTTCTACCTTAGTCAAATTACATCTGTATAAATTTCATTGTTGAAAAACATCTATCTACGTTGACATGAGTAGTCGGCACTGTCAATATAACATCAAACAATTAATATAATTCGGGGTATCGATTACACTAATTTTGCCAATAATCTAAGATATTTATTTCTTTAGCAAATTAAACTAAAATCAGGTTTGTTAATCGATCCTTTTAAAAGGATCGAATCAGGATCTTTTTAAAAAATGGATTGAAATCGAGGATCGATATTTTTTTTATCACTATCATGATCCTTTTCTTGTTATACAAATATCTGAAAGAAATATATGCTCGATATACAAAATTAACTAATATAAAATTAAAATTAAATATATAGTGTAAATATGCGTGTAAATTATTATTTTATTTTTTTAAATAAGTAATTTGGTTATCATAAAAAATAATAGTTTAAATTTATTATAGTAGAATGGATATATATAACAATAATAATATATTTATTTATAATTAAAATTAGCCTTTAATAATATAAAAAAAATTTCTTAAATATTATCGTTCAAAGATCCACGTCTTTCATTAAGAACATGTTTGACTTTATTAAAACAAGAGCTTCATAGGAACGCTTGATAAAGTCAAGAAATAGAAAAGGCCTAACTGAAAATAGACATTATTATCTTATATTTTTGATATAACTCCCAAAATATTAATGAAAACTCCCAATTCGAGACCCCTGTATCTATAAAAATTAGGCTTAGACCTCCGCGGGCCGCGGAGTTTGTGAAGCGTTTTTTAAACCAGCTTATTTTTTTAATTGGATTAAAGCTTACTATTATATTATTATGGTGAGCCAGTTGCCAAATCCGAACCATTAGCCGTATTAACCAAAAATATTTGTGGAGAACCTGAACCGTTAAAAATTTTGTCACCTAAATCTAACTTCTTAAAGGATGTGTGAACCGAGTTGAATAATTTATTACCCAAACTTTTTTGAAGATTGATAAATATGAGCAAGAGTTTTTAGATATTTTTGTTATTGCTATTTCAACTAGCTATCCAGTGTAGCTTATATAAAGTATTCTCTATTATTTTTTCTCCTTATAGTAATAATTAGACAGAAAAGAATCTCTGATTTATTTTAATTGTTTTGTGGCTAAATATTATTTTCTTCAGGGAAAAAGGATAATTTTTAAAAATGTTTCTCGCTTACTTTAGCGAATACAAATAGGTTCATACGTGAAACTGGTTTTGAAAGGTTCAAACGGAACCAATATTATTATTTTTACAATAAACCGTAATTTTTGTCTGAATGTAGTTTATATTTGTTATGATCGGATCCCTGGAAGAATTATAAAAAATGACTAAAAAACAGGAAATAAAATACAGATGCTATATTAGTTGTACCTATATTATGTGTAATTTTTTATTTTCAATTTTACTGTTATAAATAAATTTCTAATTATAAAATGAATATCGCAAAAATTAAATTATAAATATTTCTGGTCATGAACCTCGAAACAAAATTCATAAGCTATCGAGAGTTGAGACTACCTGCTCCCTCCCTTAACTAAGCTACTTTATGATTATTAAAAATATTGATTATCGATATTAACAAAAAGGTGCTTAATCTACAAAATAACTGGTGATGTTTAAAAAATTAATTGAGTTATGCACCAACCACAAGGGTTATATAATTTAGATAACGATAACTTTATATTAATATGGAGTAGAATACCTTACCACATCGATTAATTATTATTTCGTTATAACAAAATTCTAAAAAACTTAAT